ATGGGAGATGATTATGATGGGTGATTAATATTTATTATTCAAATTTATAATAGTACATATGACACTAGGTTTTTTGGTTTTAATGTTTAAAGCCCATTAAAGGCCCAGACCGCCTAAACCGGTCAGACCAGACCGCCTTTTCGTGATCTGGTTTGACCGGTCTGGGCACTTGGTTTCAAATCGCTCGGTCTGAAATTTTTACAAACCGCCATTACGGTTTGGTTTGTGGTCTGAGGGCTTAAACCGCCCAAACCGGACCGCGAACACCCCTACATACAACGAATCAAGAAATTGCTCCCAACTATGATCTCTTATTACTTATTAATGTACTTGCATAACCATGGGTCTCATCGGGGTTTTATATAGTTATCAATGGTTGACCTTGTAAAACTCAGATAATGCAAACCCATGATCCCATATCTAGAATCACTCCCACCGGGATCTCCCTGTAGGCAAGAGCTTCTTTTGCTTTTGAGTGTATCTGAAAGTGAAGTGGCATCACCATTAAAAACAAAAGATATGTTCTCTTCATGTTAATGAATGGTGAAAACTCCAATTCAGAAGTTGTTGCATAAGGCACCTTTCCTGTATTATGCTCTCCAAAAGGAAATCTAGCATGGTTAAATAAGAGTTACCTGCAGATAGAGCTTGCAGTGGTTCTCCTCCAAGAGCGTCATCGTTTTCTAGTGATCGTTGACTGTGAAAAAAGAGATCATCAAGAATGTAATGGAGTTTTGGAGCACTAGGGTTCCTCCTTAATGATTGGAAGGCTATAGGAGTGTGTGATGCCCAATATTACAATACCGACAATATCACGTGGGGAACAAGCTACAACCAGCAATGAGGAAGGGGAGGGACACGTGGCAGCAGATCATTCCATACAGCCCATCAGGAGAGGTAACCGAATCAGAAGGCCCAACAGAAAATACGTGGATGGAGGTACTACATAGTGCAGTGGGGTGCAAGGAATAAAGCAGTATTTGAAAAAAGACTCTCTCTCTCTCTCTCTTTCTGGAATTTTCTGTTATCTTCTTCCTCTACATTCTAGCTTACCATTGCAATTGTCCTTTATTTCCCTAAAAGCATACTGTGATGTTTTTATCCAGATAACTTCATCAATAAAGAAGTATTTTCAACCCAGTAGTTTAATGTTTTTACCGGTAGGGTTGAAAATACTTCTTTATTGATGAAGCTATCTGGATAAAAACATCACAGTATGCTTTTAGGGAAATAAAGGACAATTGCAATGGTAAGCTAGAAATGTAGAGGAAGAAGATAACAGAAAATTCCAGAAAGAGAGAGAGAGAGTCTTTTTTCAAATGCTGCTTTATTCCTTGCACCCCACTGCACTATGTAGTACCTCCATCCACGTATTTTCTGTTGGGCCTTCTGATTCGGTTACCTCTCCTGATGGGCTGTATGGAATGATCTGCTGCCACGTGTCCCTCCCCTTCCTCATTGCTGGTTGTAGTTTGTCCCCCACGTGATATTGTCGGTATTGTAATATTGGGCATCACAGAGTGAATGAGGAACCTCTTTGCAAAGGTAAAGGACAAACCCATCAATCATATGAGTCCAACATACAGTAATTCTTGTATAAACACGTTTAGACACCACAAGCTTCTTAAATAAGTCCATAATCAATGCAGGTCAAATCATAATCTGCTCATAGAAACATTTCATCGAACACTTGCTTTGCATCCAAAAAATTAGGTCATTTTCCATACAACCTTCAATGCACCTACAGCTACAAGACAAAGATCAAGAAAGACGGTAACTAGTATTTGTTGTTGTCAGAAAACATAATAGAGAAAGGGGAATCCATACTAGATTAGTTCAAGATCATGGCAAAGACAAATCATAACCTCCCATAGAAACATTTAGGCGAACACTTGCTTTGCATAAAAAAGTAAGCCACATTTTCCACATAACCTTCATCTGTACCCACCTACAAGACAAGGATCAAAATAGAGAATGACTAAATGCTATACACATCATTTTCTCATAAACCATCTGATCAAATTTCCACAAAAATAAAAATAAGAACAATTATCTGTCAGACAACCATGTAACCATGCCAAGACACGATCATACGGGATGGCAACGATCATCTACTGAGCCATGGCCTAGACCATGGGTCTCGGTTAATCACGCTCTGGCTACATGGTTCTGGCTCATCAACCAGACATGGGTTACTGTCTTCTTAGGAATCAAGAATACAGAGGTACGAGCCTATAGAACAGATCCTGTTCAAGTAAGGTCGTGCTCATTCGTCTCTCTTTTCTCCATATATACATTCATGCATCTGAGCCCGTAAACGATGTGGGAATTCCTTAGCGCTGCCTCTTTTATCTTCTCCTTGTGTTCAAGCTTCGTATCCCATATTACACATGGGGACGGTTACTGGCAGATCCAACCGTAGCAGGACCGGGATTTCCTGTTGGGTAACTGGATGGGAACGGGTATATTTTCATACTTTGAAGCGAGGTCCCTGATCAGATCCAGATTAAATTTTTTCTTTTATTACGGTGGAGGTTGTTTTTTTAAGAGGTCTTGAAATTTAATTTTACTATTAATTTATAAAAGGGTGGTTACGAAGTTTGAAATCTGGATTAGTAAAATTGTTTGTTTTTACGTTTGAAGTCTTAAATCTGAATCGATCAAACTAGTGCAAATATATATATAAGATAAATAGTTTTTTTTACAAAAGTATAAAAGATAAATAGTTTTTGCTAACAAATCTCTTATGACCCCCAATATACGAACCCTAAATATATGTGTATAAATGAATATGTGTATATATATGGGATAGGGTTCCAGTGAGAAACGTAAGAATATATCTCACATTTGAATTAATCATAAGTGAATGTCAATATTAATGAGGTACAATGAGATACACCGGATCAATTTCATTCTAAGGCGTAATTTATAGATGGGACATGTGATTAAATATAATCAACGGTTTAAATCTCTTCTTACGTTGCTCACTATAACTTCACTTCTCACACAATCATTCTCATGTGTACATATTTATTATTTTTTAACTGACAAATATATTTAATTTTCAATATTTGTAATAAATGTAGTGACAATTCATTACAAATTAAGATTTCAAATAGTGTAAGACATGGTGTGGTGTGGTGTGGTGACGAGGCCAAGCATCAAGCCTTGGAAGCGTGCATTAAAATTAACGTGACATAAGACATAAGACTTGAGCCAAATGACGTCTGTTGCAGCGACCATTTTCCAACAATATTACAAATTTAATTCTAACATACATTAGTTCCATTATTTTTTTATTAAACAGGTACACAAGGGGTTCACCAAACCCATTCGGGATTACTTGTGGGGACGAGAGAGCATTACCCTCCTTCTAGATACTCGTCCCATTTCCATGCTATTCCCGTTCGTCAAACAAAAACGAGGAAAAGGTATTATCATTTATCATAATCCATCGTAGCCAAGGTTCTAAATGTCATTAGAGGCGGCATGGTGGCAAGATCAAACCTTAAATTACGACGTTGTAGGCATGTCCCCTTAGGTGGCATATGTATGCATATATGTACTATATATATTTGTATAATTGTATGTGTTAAACATATGAATACAATTTAAATTCATACAAGGTTACAAAACTAAAAGAAAATAAGAACCATTTATATAAAATACATCAGGCTTACAAGAGAACGATATCTAAGAAACAAAATCTGGACTGAATCTTAAGGGTTGTTTGGTAGTTATTGAATGATTTGATGCAAAATAATTGAATAGTCTTTATAATATAATACAAAATGAAATATAATTATTTAATAATAAAATTAAAAAAACAAGATTCACCTCTTAACAATTCAAAAATTATCGCTTAATAGTTTAAATTTCTAATCACTACTTTCTTCGATCTTCAAAAAGATAAGATATTTATTCGTATACGAGATTTTAGTTCTGTTGCTTATTTACCTGATAAACGTTTGTAAATCTGGAACCATTTAAGCAGCAGATCATACAATAAATAAAAAACTTGCACCATCAAACCAAACTAAATCTCGCATCTTCATCGTGAATTAGTAGCTCACATTCTCAATTCCAAGTGAAAGAAAAAGAGGACTTTTTTTTCTAAAGATGCCCATCAAATAAGAGCACTAGACCATAAAATTACCAGAAGACTCTTGACACTTCCAACATCATCATATATCCTTGCCAACCATCTTTCTTTTTATAGTTATTAGGCCTTGCTGTCGACGCTCATTGGTTCTGCGTCCTTCGTACCCGATTTCTGCAAACAATAATCGGACACCATCTTAAAACTTGCAACAAACTAAAAGATGAAAGATGAAGGATCAAAGAGGGAAGCAAGGCTCACGTTGGAGGATGATTTGGTCATTTTGGCAAACATATTTCCATAAAATTTAGCATCCTTCTTATTGTATTCTTTAATCTTTTCCTTCAGTACTTTGTATTCAAGTTTCACATCCCTGATCACCAAACAATGTTAAAAACAGTAAATAAAGAGATGACCTGCATACTGTGATAAAATGTGTAAAGCTTCTCACTTGTTGTTAGGGTCGATCTCAAGGGCTTTTTTGATATCCAGCTCTGCAAGATCCAGATCAGCTACATTGATGTAAGCTTGAGCTCTTCGGTACAGTGCCTTCACATTTGTACTCTCGAGTTCCAGCACCTGTAGTACATTTTATTAGAATACTAGACAACAAGGAAGTTCACAGAGAACCCAAAAAGGGAGAACAATGGATCTCCTATCAACCATTTGATCTGAAAAAAATGATGACCTACATTCAAATGTAATTGCCTTACAATCATGGATTCTACACTGTGTTATCAAATTTGGAGAAAAAGAAAAGATAAAAGAAAAAAATTTATTCGAGATCGTCCATGAATAGAGGAGAAAGGAAAAGTCTGTTTGTGTCCTTGAATAGGAGAAAAAGAAAAATAATTCTCGTGTCCCTAATAAGGAGAAAGATGTCGACTTTACAAATACATCCTTAAAAAATATATCCTCCAAAAAATGGGTAGTTTTGTAATTTTAATAAATCTTTTTAGCGGGTTTTAATTTCTTTCATTTGTTTCAATTTCCTCTCACATTTGTTTCAATATTTTCGTTACGTTCGTTGTTTTTACTTTCCTCCCTTCCCTTTCCTTCGTAATAAAGGTTTGAAGAACACAGCCTTAGTTTTGGCTCCCTTTTAGTAATCTCTGTTGAACCCATTACATAATTTAGTCATTAAAGCTTCCCAACTATGTTCAGCTTAGAAGTGCATATCTGCGCCTACAGTTGCATATATTTTTATCATAGTAATTTGTCAATAGAAAGATATTATATCTGACCTTGGTGCAAAGTTTTTCAGCCTGCTTGTAATCTTTAAGTTTCAACTGGCAAGCAGCATTATTGAGGTTGCAAGTGACCTTCAATGCTTTTGCTTGTTTCTTCTCCTCTTCCTCAAAATTAGTATCGTACTCTATGAACTTAGCAGCCTGAAAAAAAGAACAAGATTTAGCCATACAACAAACTTTGCATCAGTAAAACAAAGCTCTGCACAAATGACAAGTCCTACCTTCTCATATCGCTTCACAGCTTTCAAATATTTACCAGCTTTAAAGAATGCATTTCCTTCTTCCTTTTTCTTGCCAGCAGCTTCAATCTTTTCTGGGGTGTTCATGTCCCAAGATTCTTTGTCCTGAAAACAAATTTGTCCTTAGCACCATCCGAACAATAACAATACATCTGGATTCATGTAAAATATGACTTCAAAATTTAAATCCCATTTACCTTAATAAAGGAGATAAGCTCAATTTCGTAGGTCACGGTAGCATTAGGGGGCACTACTGCTAATTCTTGCTTGGAACCAGTAGAACCGAACCCATATTCTGGCTCAATTGTCACAAGAGCTACTTCCCCTTTCTTCATTGTCATCACAGCTCTATCCAACCCATCAATCACTTGCTCTGCTTGTGTGAAGACCAAAGTGACCCATCAACAAAGACAGGTAAACAACACGATACAACAAAAGGAACATGGAATTTCTGATGATCTATATACCTTCATCTGCTTTGAAATCCAAAGGCTCGAAGTCATCGTGACCTTTTTTGATGAATACAGTACCATCTTGTAGCTTACCAATCAAACTCACTGCCCATCAAAAGAAAGCAATTTCAGACACCATGTGCATATATGGTTAAAAAATCTCGTAAGTCATTGCTACTGACCCTGAACAACAGCTCCTTCATTTGGCCGCTCATATCCCTCGCCTTCTTTCAAGATTTTCTTGACAACTTTCTTGTCATCTGTGACATTTGAGACGACCTTCCACGATACAAGTTCCAGTGTGATTTGCAGTGTAGCATTTGGCGGGACTGAACCAAGATCACCAGAGGCAGGTTTCCCTTTCTCCCCAAATCCATCTGCAACCAGATATATTAGAAGTGAATCACCCTTCGTACAACTCAAGGCAAAATTTCTTCATAAGTATCGCAAGAAGACACTTACATTGTGGTTTGACTGTAAGAACAACCTTTTCTCCCTTCTTCATTGTTTTAAGAGCCGCACTAATAGCAGGACAGAAATGGCCTAATCGAAAACAAACAAATCAGCAACAATCAAAAGAGCTCCTAAAAGGCTAAAACCACAAGAAAAAGCCTCCATGTAAACTACCTTCTTGTACTGTGAACTCCACTCCATCCGCTTTTGCAACTAGAGTCCCGTCCTCAAGTTGAACCTCATAATTGACTGTAGTTGCCAAAAAAATCCAAAATTTTAGTTTAGAACATGAAAAATGAGTCAAAAAGCAGATATTTGCCCATGAAAAATTAGACATATAAGTACCCAAAACTTCATCAAGGTCTTTAGGGTTTTCCCACTTCTCTCCTTCCTTCACAATCTTCTTGAAGATCCCACCATCCTTGCAAATGTCCTTGACACTAACCCAGGAGAGCAGTTCCACGTCAAACTGAAGGGTGGCATTCGGAGGAATTGTAGGAGGAGAACCACTTTCACCATAAGCCAGATCGGCAGGGATGGTGAAAAGGGCATTTTCACCTTTCTTCATTGTCTTGATACCTTGATCCCATCCCTTAATTACTTGCCCTAATGTCAGGAAACAAATAAGAACAAATGTGATGACAATTGAAATCTAACATATTGCTTCCTGAATACAGGATATCATAATTTGCCAGATATAAAATCATCATTTATCACCAACAAACCAAGGCAGGTGAAAACTTCAGCTGTTCATACAAAAGTAAGTTTTACATATGCATAAACACGATATGTAGGGATGTAAACAAACCAAACGTTCACAGAACCATTTGGCAGGACATTCGCTTATGCTCTTTTATTTAATAAATGACGAACAAGAACACATTTTTTGTTAGTTTAGTTAAATGAAAGACCATTATTCCTGTTTGTTTACGTTCATATCGTTTATATTATATATTATGACATCAATGTATGAAATAGTTAATGCGAGAAACTATGAGTAATGGTAGAGTCTTTAGTATATTTGTGTTCATTTAAGTTCGTTTAGCATCTTAACAAACGAACAAAAACAAACACAAACAAACACATTTAAACGAACATGAACACAAAAAATTCTGTTCATTTACCTCGTTCATCCGAGTAAGTGAAACGAACAAATACTAACAAGTTCGGCTAGTTTACAGCGCTGAGCATATGGTCTTAACATACATTACGCATTTTAACATCAATAAATCATGCCATTAAAGATAATTCTGAATAACAACGAAGTTGAAGTCAAACAGTAAAAGACCAATATACAATGCACGAATATAACAAAAAAAACGCAATCACATATATCATTGAGAAAAAATCTCACCTTGGCCGAGAGTGAACTTAAATGGTGTTCCTCTATCACGACTAGAATCAAATTGAGTCCCATCGAGCAATGTTCCAGTATAATGAACTACAAAAAACACAAATCCAGCTCACAGTCAATATCACCATAATGATTTAGAACCCCACGACGATAGATATCAAAAAAAAAAAAAGTATAGCCAGAGCTCATACCTTCAACCTCGTCCCCACTTTCAGGCGTATCCCAACCTTCACCTTCCTTAAGAAGCTTCTTCTTCAAACCTTGAGTACCGATTTCCTTCTCTTCTCCAACCTTCAACGTCACCGGCGCTTCAATATCATCCATAAATTCGTCGTTCATCTCCTCAGCTGCCGGAATATCGAAATCCTCATCCATTTCACTCGCAACAAGTTACAAACACAAAGTATTCCACCAAAAACAAGCAAATCAGAGAGACAAACAGTTGGATCAACAGCAAGTAGAATCAAAGATCGAAAGGGGTTTTTATATTGAACGGATTACTTAAAGTGTGAAGAAAGTTGGGGGATTCTAGAGGGTTCTAAAGGGTTTACAGAGTGAAAGAGAAATAATGACGAAGGGTCAGGATGCTTCGAGAGAGATCTCGTTGACGATAGCCTCGAGATTTCGTGAACGTACGTGATCTACTGTGGTGCTGGTGCACCTTACCTTTGTGATCGTGGATAATCTGACGGTTCAGAAATTACCGGGTCGGTTCTTTTGTATAACCTTTTGAAAAGATCCGAGAATATTTATTGACAATTTAATGACAAATTTTAATCTCTTATCGACCCCTTTAGCATCCAAAGAATATTCTCTTCTTTTACATTTTTGGTTATAAAACATTTGATAAAAAAATTTAAAAACTATTTTGATACATAAGTTTATTGATGTATATTACTTAAAATTTAATATTACAATTAAATAATATATAGGTATAACTTATTAAAGTTTTATTCTTGAATTCGT